CATTTCAAATGAAAACATAATGATATGCTCAAATAATATAATCATATAATTAATCCAAAAGAAAAAAAATCCTAACACATATCTATTAATCCTCGCGCGAAGCGTTGACACGCTCCCTAATATAAATTTATATATTTATTAATTTTTTAATAATCATGTAGCAGTCTATTTATTATATTTTATTTCAGACTCTAGTTTAGTAAATTTTGTAAGTTTCAACTCGGAATTTGAACATAAAAAGCCCTTTTTTTTATAAAAAATATTTCGGAGTTGAACTCTAAAAAAAAAATTTGGCCAAAAATTTGAAATTCTTAAAAAAGTATAGAGAAGTAATTTACAATGACCATATTGATATAACGATGAATATTTAATAATAATAAAATAATTAAATAATTAAGAAGGTATAGAAAAATAATTTATAATGACCATATTAATATAACAATGACTATAGTTATTAGGGGAATTTTTGCATATAGCCACTAAAAAATAACTTAATTATGCTCCATAACTATAGTTTGTTAATTATTATTCATAGCTACATGTTAGAGGGAGGAGAGAGGCGAGCGAGTTTGGGAGAGGGAGGAGAGAGGCAAGCTAGAGAGGGTAGAGACTGGAGAAAGACAAATTGTATAGTATATCTGTCAAATACTTGTATATATGTAACTAGTATACATATGTATTTACATATCTGGCGAGCGAGATTGGGAGAGGAGGAGAGAGGCGAGCGAGATAGGGCAGAGAGTGGAGAGGGGCGAACTGTATATGTATATATGTCAGATAATTGAATATATGTAACTGATATACATATGTATTTGTATATCTGGCGAGCGAGATTGAGAGAGGGAGGAGAGAGGTGATTGAGAGAGTGGAGAGACACTAATTATAATTGTATTACCAATATTTAGAAATTGCAGTTGTGTTAGGACGAACACAACACTAACAAATGGTGCCAAAAGCTGTTCAAATTGTACCTCCTAATTTTTGGTCCTTTTTGTTCCACTTTAATTAGGTGTTTAACACCTGGATTGATTTAATTTTATTAAAAAATGAATTGGAGAAAAATGGAATCATATGATAAATTATATATATATATATATTAGGGAAAAATGTCTGAAATATATCCGAACTTTGATCGAAATTGCTGTAACGATACCAAACTTTGGAAATGACTTTTTACCCCTGCACTATTTAATAATGTATTTTAAAAGTATATATGTGCCACGTGGACATTATAAATATTGCATAATTATAAATAGTAACGTGTCCACGTGGGCACATATATACCTTTAAAATATACTATTAAATAGTGTAAGGGTAAAATGTCCTCTATAAAGTTTGGTATCATAACAACAATTTCAGTCAAAGTTGAAGTATTTTTCAGACCATTTTCCCTATATATATTACTTTACTCCTTATATATAAAGGACAGTTAGCTGTTTGTTTACTCTAGGTTAGGGGTATTTTAGGGTTTTCCATTATTTTTAGCAGTGTTATTCTTCTACAATAATGCATTTTAGGTTGTACTTTTTTTTTTAAAAGTAAAAAACACCTTAGCTAAACCAGATGCTTTAAGGATATTTTTGGTATTTTCATATTTTTATCTGTTGTTGCCTTTTGTACTTGGTGAATAAAAGGTTGAACTATCTGATTTAACTTATTTAATGGCCCTCACTTCTGCTACTTATTTCACATTGCTGTGGTTAGAAGCAGTCTCCTCCTTAACATCGCAAGTCTTTCAAGAATACTTTTTTCTCCCTAAACTCCTACTGCTCTTTCTTGCCCAGTTTACAGGTAAGTTTCCCCTCTGTTTTTTCCTTTTTATTTGGCCTTTTTAATGTTAGTTAGGTTTAAGATTATGTTAATTTCTAATTCGAGATGTTTTGAATTTTCCATGAATTTTGGTTACTGTATTGCATATATTTTCATGGGTTAATCTTAAATTTCATCGGTTTCAGCTCTTTCAAGATATGATTTAATCTTAAATGTCATCTGTTTCAAGGTAAGTAACAATAGATTAAGAGTTTGTTATATTAGTACAACATCCGTACTTGCATAAAAGGTGTTCGTGAAATTGCCCGAAAAGAAAGTATAGCTATTTCTGGACTACGTTAATTTTGTTTATGGATTTGACTATCACCACAAGTTTCAATATTAGAATTCGAAGCCAAATAGGGAATTTAGGAGGGTTCTGAAAGACGAGTAATGATGATGGTGATAGGCTGATGTTATCACTTTAGGCCTGCCTGTAAGCATTTCATTTGTTTGATTTTACGAGATGTACAACTTTAATGTTGTGCTGGCCTTTTTCTGCTTGATTTTTATTAAGTTTTTCCCGTCTCCAAATTCCTTGTACTCGAGAATTAAATTTACTTTTTGTTTTGGTGAGATGGATTATTGTATTTCTTGAAAGTTAAACACTTTAGACTAAAGCATTTTCTTTTGGCTTTTGCCTAGAAAGAAGACATGATCTTCTTAATTGTGAAGATGAGAAGATATTTAGATGATATAAGTTCGTTATGCTAAGCATGTATTTACTGAAACCTTTTGAATTACAATTTTAGTCTCCACTTTTAATGAAAGACCTTCTTGTACATGTCCTCGAGGGCAATATTCATGTCAAAGAATTCGTGGTATAATATGGATGCAAAATAATTATACAATGTTGAATTAATACTCAATAAAGTTAGAGTGTTTGTTGTTATTTACTATGCTGGCAGGAGGTAATAGTACTTGGAAATAGTCGAGGTGTGTGCAAATTGGTCCGAACACCACCATCAATTCCTCATATAAAAAGAAGTTAGAAACTTTATGTTTATAGAAGCACAACCTAGAAGGTGATCTTCTCATATTTTCATGTAGGACAAATCTCAATTGATTATTTCCATTTCTTTGTGTAGATGTGGATAAATCATGTGTGTTCTCACTGTTGTATTACTACCCAAAAAGTTTAGTGAATTTACCATTTCATTTATTTTAGTTTAGTATATGGATTAATATGGATCATGTTAGTAAAGATTCTCAAGCAAACCACTGCCAAGTTCATATAAATAGTCAAGACATGCATAGGTATCAAGGTTGTGGTTAGTGGTTCTGCATAGTTGCAGATGCAAAATAACCACTGAAGGAAGGGGTGGTTCTCTCCTCTCTTAACCAACATCTCGAGTTCGAATTTGGTAATGAAGTCCCCTTCAGCTGGGAGCATTTTACCGATGTATGAGTTGATTTCCGTTACTAAATGCTAAAAAAGGTATATCTTATTCCCTAGGAAAGCGTTACTCTTATTTTCATCTTTGAACTCCATCCAATTCTGCTGGCGTTAGAGGTGAATTGCTAACAACAGAAATATGCCTTACATGGGGACCAACATGTAAAACTCAATAAATTAGGAACCACAATTAAAAGGGAAACTGCATCAATAAAACAACAATAACATAACTACAAAGTGAGGACTGACAATGATAGAGTGTATATAAACCTTACCCGACCACTATCTTAGAAGCGGCAAAGTTGTTTCCAAATGACCCTCGACTAAAGGAAAAACAAGCCCGAAAAAGAAATAACAGAAGTACAAGAAACATAAGATAATAACAAAAAATAATAGATAGTAACAAAACAGAAATTACAATACAATAATCGAGGTACATGAAACAATAGAGAGCAACAGAAATCAAAGGACAAGAAACTACCAAAGCAATTCTATGACTACTAAGATAATATTATGCAGTATAAGACATCAATATAAAAGGTAATGATTCTTTAACATAAACAATATTTGGACTGTAATTCTTCTATTGAAACTAATCAAATAATTTATCACGGTTTTCGCATATGAACGTTTTACATATCACACACCAATTCTGCTTCTTTTCTCTTATTATTCTAATCCCACAATTGTAAACATTCTAAGTGGGTGCTTCTTTGTGATGACCCTCAACTAAGTGTTCATCGCTACTTTATAAAGTGTTTACGCTGACATGAAAGAAAGCAGTCCTAAAGATAGACTGCTCTATTGATAGTTTTTGGGTCATCAAGATAGACTGCTCCTTTTGCTCAAGTACAGAATTAACCTCTTGTTCCTGAAATCTTCTGCTATAGCTTCAGTGGCATATCTTCACAAATTTCTTTGAATTGTGAGGGTGTGTAGTCACTCCTTTGTATAAAAAATAATTCAATGGATTGCGTCAAGATAATAAGAAGAACATATAAATTGATCTTTGTGAAATGGCGGAGGAGGCGGAGGAAGAGGAATTAATTTCTCATGAAGTATCATCTCCGTTTAGCTGGCCATTTCCGAAAACTGTTTTCCCTGGAGAGAGTAGTAATTATGTTCCCCTTTTTAGGATTGAAAAGAATAAGAAAGACTTGATGAATATTCTCACAATTTGACAGTTTGTTATGATGCTTCTTCACATTTTAAACATAGTTTGTGTGAGTTTGCTTCCCTTGGATCTTTATACTCGCGTGCATCAGTCATATTTTTGTGACTAATTTTACTGGGTTTTGAAAAATGATCACAACTTCTTTTAAGGCATTTCCAAGGATAATCATTCTATCATTAATCAAGCTTTGCATTAGTAAGAAAAAATGTTAGTAGGAAGATGATGAAATTGAGTTGATCTGCTTAGTTGTTTGATTATGCGTCTCAACCTCATTTGGAAAAAAAGTACTCCCTCTGTAATGCCAAATAAAAAGAGCAGTGTCTATTAATTACACAAATAGATGAATGAGGATATTATATTTCATCAAATTTTCTCATTATACTCTGTTGGCGATCCTCTTCCTCAGCCTCTTTTTATCTATTTGATTTCTCTTTTCTATTGTTTGCTCCTGAGCACGGGCACACCATCACTAGTATATATATATATATATATATATATAACTTCTAAAGGACGAAAAAGGGTATATATTTTTTTCATAAAAGTGTGTAAAGAACAGAATAGAGGATAAAATTGTGAGAAGAGTTGGAAAAAAATTAGAAAAATCTTTGTGTGTGCACCTGAGTGTACCTTACAAAACTACAAATACTGATTTTTTTTTAAAAAAAATAGCCCCAAACAGGACGCTTGATTACCCGGATGAGAGATGGCTATGGAGGGTGCATCATCTTTTCCGACTTGGGAAGAAATTGAGCTTTCAGAAAGGTACTCTTTCTTCTTTTTTTGGGGATAATTACCCAGCAAAGAATTTTCTTTTTTGGGTTTATTCTTGATTCACTATGCAACAATTTGGTCAAAATTGTTTTCCAATTGTCATATTCAATTTTGTAGTTATCTGGTGTGTTGTATGTTCCAAGAAGCAGCAATTTTGTCTTCCTCAATTATTGAGCAATTAATTGAGAAAAATGGTAAAACGAATGAAGACAATTGCGAATTGGGTGATATGTTGGAATCAGCTGCCATGATTTTGGTGCAGTCCTACAAAGAGCTGGGGAGGTACTTGTTTATGCCACTTCTATTCATTTATGTATTACCTGCATTTTCTTATTCTATTACAAAGACTTTTAAGAATATTGTTTGCCTGAGTTTTAGGGTTAAATGACAATCTTACTTGAGCATTGAGAGTTGAGAGTTGCTTCATTATTAGTTGTTACAACCTGTACTGCAGAGGAATTTGTTTGTCTCCATCTGGGTTGAATTGATAAGAGTCTCGGCTGTTAGGTAGGAAGAAAAATGTTTTTTAGGAAAATAAGAGGGTTTCTTACTTATTTTCTTGTGTTCGGTATGTAAGAGAATTTTTTACACTAAAAGCATTTGCATATAACACTATGGGAGGTGGGGTTGGGGATGAAGATGAGGTGTATTGGGGGCGGGAGCACACAACTAATATGGAATGCCACTTGTGAACTTGTTTTATCCCTTCTTCTACTGGGGAAGTCATTTTTTCCTAATTTTCAGGAACTTGTTTTCCTCGAGAAAATGCTTTCCAAAAGTGTTGACCAACCGAACATGGGAAAACTGGAAAATAAATGTTTTCCTCCTTATAGAACACACTTATTGAACATTGTTAGTAGATGGATATTGATTTTCTGTATTCTGATTTCTGATATTGCTTGGATTTATGAGTACCTCTGAAATACCTTATATGGAGTGGCTCTGATGTATGTGTATTATTGGTCCTTTCTCATCTTTTACTGTTTCTCGATGTGGTAATCCTGCTGCTTTCTTTCGTAGAAAAAAACTCTTCGAGTGTGCTTTAATTCTGACACTAACATGGTTTTGATGTTTGACAGGACATCAGAAATACTGAAGCAGTTGAAAATGCTATTTGGTTCAGTCACTGCTATTCCTGCCCAAGTTTTCCTTACTGGGTACCTCATTTCTTCGACATGCTATTTCCCTAATAATTGCACATCTTCCTTTAGCACAAATAATCATCAATGTGAATTTGATGTTTCTCAGCTTGGTGGTCTAGTGAGATGATTTCTTTTCCTTTTAATAAGGTTGGGCGTCGTTGTTGGAATACAACTTTAATTACCATTCTCAATTTTATGCTGCAATTCCTTTATCATTCACTTTTTTTCATACTGGATTTCTATAACATGAATTGTTTTAATGGCATAATTCATAAAATATAAGAGTGCCTTTAAAAATCGAGACACACTCTTTGCTTTGACATGTTTCTTTTGGTTGAGATCCTGAATCTGAATTCATGTACTCCCCGGTATCCCATGTATCCAAAGTAAACAGAAAAAAGTTTCATGATCCCTCTCCTGAGCTTGAAATGTTCTTATCATTGCAAGGTTGCTCCTCATAACTTACTTTTCCTTCACCATTTTTAGAAAGGCTCCCTTCTTTGATATGGAAATGACTCTAAACTTCTTCTTTAGGGTGTGTCTCCAGATACCAGATGGCCCTTCTGCTGAAGTTCAAGAAATTCTAGAGGAATTCCTTTCGAAGTGGAGATATGTTGATGGAAAGTATTATTCTGTTGCAAGCATTGAAGAATTTAGCAATCAGATTTCCCTTGGAGTTGATAAGTACCTGGAAATTATTGAGCTCTATGTGATAACCTTTTTGGGGAGGATTCTAGGAAATTTGGATCTTGCTATCTCTTGGGTTGAGAAATTCCCTCTACCTGAGGAGAAGAGGCAGGTAAACAATAATCTTTCTTGCTTCATTTAATTAAAATGATGGTCTCACGTGATTTTTTTTTTCTTTTGTCCCCTACACTCTTTTAATTTTTGCTTGTGCAGGGCATCAATTGGAAAAACTGTGTTGTTTTCCTTGTAAAAGTATGTTGTTGGAAAATCTATATTCTTGAGGTTCTTAGCACTATGAGTTGAAGTTCCTTGGTGATTTATGGTTGAATATATAGTCTAATACGCCCTAATTTTGTGAGATTAAACTTTGTTGAAAGAGAAATATGCTTGTAGAAACTGGGCAATGCAGTCTGACTGAGACACCTTTGTTGTGTTCTGATATGCCGTTGGTGGTTTAGCTATTTTGTGACAGAGTAACTTATAGCTTGGGAATTTTCTAATTATTTCTCCGTCTTCCAGGATCTTTTGAGGCAGTTGTACTCCATGAATACTTTAAAGCTGGTCAGCTCTTCGCAGTCCTCAGCATTACCGCTCCAAATAGATGAATGCACAACTGATTCCACTTCCCTGATTGAAGAAAAATCATGCAATGGAACAGCAAATATTTTGGAACACAGAGACCAGTCTAAGGGAGAGAACACCATGAAACAATCAATTCTGGAGTTCTCTAGACGGAGAACTCCATTGTGGTGGTTTCGTACAGTCACTTTGAAGTTTGGAAGTAGTCGCTTGGTCTTATCAAATGAAAGTATCTTTCTTGGGTTTTTGGCGGCACTTGTTTACTATACCGTGCGGAGAAAACAAGCCTCTTTATGGAGGTAATATAGTCTCTCTGCCACTTCTCTTCTAGATAAAGAAGAATTTACTCTTATTATGATTTTCTTCATCTTATAGCTGTGGGAGACACATATTACTGTGTAAAATCTACCAAATTTTCTCATGACATGGTCACTGTATAGGATAAAGCGGCACAACTTGTGCACTGAAGGATGTTTTTCCCTTATCAACTTAACTTGCATAGTATTAGCACATGATTTAGTGGACATATCAAATTGACAAATTCCCTCCATTATCTTGAAACAACTAAAACTGATATCTTTCATTTATTGTTTTTGCTGGATCAAAGTTAAATTCAACTTACTGTAGACAGTGGATGGAAATGCACATTATATTTGATTACTGCGGCTGTGTGGCACTTATGTGAAGCTGTGTATAAAGATACATGCATATTTGAACCTAGACTTTTTAACAGAAAACATCCCTAAAGTATACCCTAAAGTTCAAGTACATCCTTAATGTATCTCTATTAACAAGAAACATTTGTGATGTATCGAAAAATAAACAACTTTGATCCAAAGTTAACTTTCCATCCAAACACTCAAGTGAAAAACAAATAAAAAATGCAATGCTCGTGATTCGCTTTTGAAACAGAAAAAATAGAATATGCCCTCTCCTCACCATTTGAGCACTCTATCTTCTTCCTCAAATTCCATAAAAATATTAGAGAAGAATCACATGCTCAACTTTATTCAATCATTCAATTCTATCCCGATCAACCTTACAGACAGCTCACAAAAGACTCAACACTATTGATTCATTAATGATAAATGGAGAACAATCTAATGATCCTGTTGCTATTAAGGATGCAATAGTTGCTTTCTATCAAAACCTGTACAAGGAAGATGAATGTTGGAGACGAAATCTCAACATTCTAGATGTACAAGGCATAACATTAGAAGAGCAAGAGTGGTTAGAAAGGGCTTTTGAAGAGGAGGAGGTGCTGGAAGGGATTAAGATGTGTGCAGCAGGCAAGGCCCCTGGGACAGAGGGGTACACTATGGCTTTCTTCCAAGCTTTCTGGGACACAATAAAAGGAGATCTGATGCAAACCTTCCATAGGTTCCACTCTATGCAGAAATTTGAAAAAAGCTTCAATGTCACTTTCGTGGCCTTGATTCCAAAGAAGGTGGGGGTGAATGACTTAAGAGACTTCAGGCCTATTTGCCTTGTATTAGAGGTATACAAAATAAGAGCTAAACAATTGTCTGAGAGATTAAAAAAGGTGATGAGTAGGTTGATTAACAATCATCAGATGGCTTTTGTCAAAGGGAGACAGATAATGGATGCTGCACTTATTGCCAGTGAACTAATTGATACCAGAATTAGAGATGATGTGCCAGGGGTGATGTGCAAGTTGGACATAGAAAAGGCTTATGGTTACCTAAATTGGAACTATCTAATCAACACTCTTAGACAGATGGGTTTTGGGGTTAGATGGCTCAAATGGATTGAATTTTGCATAAAAACCACCATGTTCTCTATTTTGATAAATGGAAAACCTGCAGGTTATTTTCTAGCAGAAAGGGGTCTTAGGCAAGGGGACCCATTGTCACCCTTTTTATTTTACTAGATTTACCACACGTGCGTTGCTCGTGGTTGCCTTGTCTTGTGATGCTTAAAAACAATGGTCCTATGTGTATAGGTAAAGTGTCAGTTTGAAGGTACTTGTGTATCATCAAGCGTGCCATCCATAATATTGGGTAACATCATTTCTGTGGCTTTTTTCATTACCTTATTTGGTGTGGTTGAGATACCTTTCATTTCGGCCTTTATGACTTCACGCCTGCATATCGTAAGAGGTGATTTAACTATAGCACATAATTGAAGAAATGTTTGTGGGTTTTAAATTTGTTAGATTACATTTTAACTCGATAGGACTGGTGATATTTAGTTTTCCCTAAAAACAAAACGTGGCTACGCTGTTCAATTATAGTTTGAACATAAGTTCTGGCAGTGAGGTTAAATGAATAATGCCTAGCATATTAGTAAATGAGGTTCCGTACCAGGCGCGGAGATCTAGTGTTTTTTGAAACATTGGATTTATCAACACACTGCTCACGGGTATAATAGATATCCCATAAGTCCCTACATTGGAAACAACATATTAATCGAGGAATCAACAAATATACTTGCAATTTTCACAATTAGCAAATAGGAGAGGTTGTCTATACCTTTATAGATTGAGACTCTCACGTCACATAAGCCTAGAATAGGTTGGTCATCTCTCAACTTTTCATGAAATGGGCCATCGTTTTCTGCAAAACCTCCCCATAGAGTAACAGTTGTATGCTCCATGCTGGATTATCAATTAGACGAATATTGTGAAAGCACTGGAAAATTAATATGGACGGTGAAGAACAAAGAATGACAACTTACAGTTCATTTGTAACAACAATTTCACATCTTTTGTTATCGCCTTTTACAATGATGGGATTCACCATAACTAACACACAAAGCAAGTCTGAATAAAGGACATGTAAATTAGTGATATGTATTATGTACTTGACGGTAATTACTAATAAGTCGTGTGAAGAGTTACCGAATATGGCACCATTTGGCATTTTCTCTGCCTGTTCCAAAGATTCAAAACCATCAATGAAGTTGTGTGTTGAAACAGTATGGGCACTCTCCTTTATGATTGTGTTGTCTGTAATGGATAGTTCCAATCTCTTTGTGCATGGAAGTGTAGTTGGAGTTGACCCGATCCAACAGCCCTTTAGCAATGTAGTAAGTTTTATTTGCCTTCAAAAAGTCCTTCAATGTGCCAATATGCTTGTTAAATAGTGTTGCTTGCAACTTTGTCCCCTAGTATTGATGTAAGCGGCATGTGATGTCATTAGAGAAGTAATAAGGGGAATAGATAGGAACGATAACATATAAGTTAAGCAAAAGTGTACCTCGTCGTCTACTAATATTACCATTTGGAAAGTCCCTTTATGGCGCGAATTCTTGTACGAAATTACAGAACCGTTTCGAATAACTAATACTCTCATCACCCAATCTACAGAGTGTTTTGGTATCTTGTTAATAGGGACACTCTGATTTGATAGTTCGGTTTCGGTCGCCATTTTTGATGAATCTGGATGGTTAGAGGTGCATAGCGGAAAGTGAATATCAATGTTAATTCCGTGCTGCAGTAGTAGTAAAATACAGAGGAATAATTAAGTAGGTTCTAGCAATGTTATGTGCTGAAAGTAGTTCAAAAAATAGCATTACAGGAAACATAAACACAGGGTGGAAACATACAACTTTTGATGTGGAGTGAAATATTTCAAAGCCGAGTCCAATATTGTAATGTGTTAGCCAATGGATGATCAATAATTGTCTGCGAAAGCAGCGCAAGAAGGATAACTTAATTACACAGTGCAGATGTAAGGCTTGACTCTTGAGTAAAAAAAAAAGAACGCTTGTAGAAGAGGAGGAAAAGTGACGTACATTTGAGCGTGTTGCAAAAGTTGAATTACTAATGGGAGACGGTGTTGTGAATGTGGTCGATATAAATAGGGTAATATCAAGAGGTTGTGTTGGTTGGTGATTTTTTGGACGTTGGGCAGATGCAGGGGAAACATGGCGTCTATCCAGTGAAAGTGGTGACTATTTGCAGGAAAGGTGTTTGTTGCGCGAGGGGTGTTTAGTGAGGGTTTCTTTTTAAGTGAGGGGTATTTGCGTAAGCTAATTAAGTTTTAAGTGAGGGATATTTTAGTAATTTAACATTCCTTTTTTGGAGTTCATGCTTTTAAGGTAGTATAGATTATTGCGATGGAGGGACTGGAAAGTTTGATGAGAAAGGCTCATTCTCAAAAAAAAAAGTTTGATGCGAAAGGCTCCAATCAATAACTGGATAAGAGGACTCAGCCAATGAAGTTATGGAATTGACACATCTATTATATGCAGACGATACACTGGTGTTTTGTGAAGCTGTACAAGAGTGCATATGTTAACTTAGGGTAATATTGGTGGTTTTTGAAGCATGTTCAGGGCTGAGAGTGAATTGGAGGAAGAGCAACATTTTTCCAGTATCAGGAGATACAGACACTAGCAAATACTCTGAAATGCAAGATAGAGAAAATGCCCACAATCTATTTAGGCATGCCATTAGGTGCTATACACAAGACACTTCACAATTGGGATGGGATGATTGAAAAAACTGATAACAAGCTAGCCTTACGGAAATCACAATAACTATCTCTAGGAGGGAGAGTTTCATTGATCAATTCAGTACTGGACTGCCTACCAACATATGTAATGTCTCTTTTTCCTATCCCTGGGGAAGTGGTTAATACTCTAGACAAGCTAAGAAGGGACTTCTTATGGCAAGGGAACAAAATCGAGAAGAATTTCACTTTGGTGAAGTGGGCTACTGGCCAACAAAGCAAAAGATATGGTGGTCCAGGAATGAGAGACCTAAAATTACAAAATGATAGCTTGATCATGAAGTGGCTCTAGAGGTACAATCAAGAGAATCAGGCCTTATGGAGTGATATCCCATAAAATATGGACTGGAGGAGCAGTGGTGCACAAATTAAGTGATTACCACCTATGAAGTTGGAGTTTGGAGGTCCATTAGAAATCTCTGGTTGACAAAGGCGAACACAAAGGTCAAAATTGGAAGGGGGGACAAAATCTCTTTCTGGAAAGAGGATTGGTGTGGCGATAGCACCTTTACAATCTTTATTTCCTGGACTCTTCTCTATATGTGTAAACCTTGAATGCAGCATACAAGAAATGTGGTCACCACAAGGATGGAACTTGTTTTTTAGGAGGTTGCTTAATGATTGGGAAATAACCTGGGTGATAGATTTGCTGAATAAGATTGCTGGATCCCCTGGGACCAACATGGAAGAAGACAAATTGATATGGAGGCATCATAACGATGGCATGTTCTCTGCTAATAGAGTTTACAAATGGGGATTAGCTAAAATTTCAGGCATAGCAGCAGACCCTTGGAATACCATTTGGAAGAGCGTGTCTCCACCAAAGGTGAAGTGCTTTACTTGGTTAGTGGCTAAAAGAGCTTGCTTGACAGATGAGTCTATGCAGAAAAAGGGAATTAACATTGCCTCTAGGTGTACACTATGCGAAAAGGCACTTGAGACCAGCAAGCACCTTTTTCTTCAGCGCAAAGTAACTGCACAAGTGTGAGAACTCTTCTTCAGTATAGCTGATATGAACTGGAGCATGCCAGAGCACAGAGCAGACCTCCTGAGTTGCTGGATTATCTGGAAGGAGAGAAATCAGAGGATCTTTCAAGGGAAAGAATGCTCTGTACAGAATATTAAATGGAAAGTTATTACTACTTTAGGCTTTTGGTGTAAAGAATAGAATATAAAAGAAGAAATTCAATTAGTGGATTTTATAGGTTCCTTGTAACTAACCATGACTATTTTGTAAATTTTGGAGGTGGCCTGCATTGCCCTGAATGCTGATGAATATAACTTTTACCAATTTCAAAAAAAAAACTTGCTTCTTACAAGAATTCCTCAGTATAAAAATGTATTACTATCTATTAACTCACTTGAGCATTCTTTGACTTGACTTGCCTGCAAAAATCTGCAGTACAAAGTGCAAAAAAGAACTTATTTCTGTTCATCTGTTTCAACTTAAACTCATTGTAAATTACTGCTCTAGTAATGCTGCCAAATTATCAATAAAGTTTGTCAGCTCTTTTCAAACTTCAATTTTCTGATACTCCTTTGTCTTTTTTTATTTTATTTGCCTAGAGAAATCTTCTACTGTAATAGTCCAGTTGACTGATTTTTTATTAATGCTCGATGTTTTTTTGCAAATTTTTGCTCATTAATGTGATCTTCTTCCTGGCGTCAAACTATATAACTAATCTGATAAGCATAAACTATCATGGAGAACGTTTAGCAGATGCAATCCCACAGAAAAAATGCACATATTTAAGTGCCTTTTTGAAGCAAAAACATTTTGGTTTCCAGAAAGCTTGATCAAATAGACTACTAGCTAGCTTCCAGTGACTTCACATTTTTTTAGACTGTATACTGCTCGAAATTATTATTGACTGTATGAGAAAAAAGAAATACTTGAGAAGCATGGGCTTCTGCCCTTACTTTTTTGCTCAGATTTAGGTAAGAAGATAGAGCTACACTCAAATGGGGACGAAAGAATATTTTCAGTTTACATAGGTGAATCATGTGGTATGCATGTGTTTTTGAAATTTCCGTTAGTTTTTGGATGAAAAGTTGACTCTGGATTAAATTTGTTAATTTTTTGGCCTAACCCATCGGTGGCCCCCTAAAGTTAGCAGCAATTTTCACTTAGACATTTTTACTAGGCTTTGTTCATTTTAGACACCTCATGTCAGGCTCCGTTGTGTCATTTTGACACTTTCAGCTGACATGGCAAAGTGAGTGTTGTACACTCGCTATTGACACGTGAGGAACTTATTTAGTCTATTTTATTTTATTTTTTCTCTTCTTCTTTCCCATTTTATAGCCACTATCTCTCCCATTATTTCTCAAAGCTTAAAGTACTTCAATGGAGGTTAAATCTTTTGTTATCATAATTTCAATTTAAATTTCGCACTATAAACTCAGATAGACCCAAAAAGAAACAAGAAATCGAACCCATATCAACACCCCAAATCATGTAAAGTTCACCCACAATAATCCTAAAATAGGAGCCAAAAAATCTCAATTTTTACTATGTAAATGTTAATCTCACTAACCTTGAGCCCTAATTAAACTACAAATATCACAAAATTAAAGAAAAAGAGACGCAATCTTAAAAATATGTGTTGTTATATATTTGCACCTTTTAGCCCTATATCAAATGAAGAAATGGGAGGTGAGGGTGCAATGAATGGGGAATATGGCAGAAAAAAATCATGAAAAAAGAGGAATAAAACGGGAAAGGTGGCTGTGTGGTTGTGGGTGTGACGGAAAAGATAATGAAAATGAAGGAATATGATAGAGTAGATTGTGTGGGTGTGGGTTTATGACAAAAAATAAAGCTCAAATATAATAAAAATGGAGTAATACAATGGTGAAGATGAATGGGGAAGATGATTGGGGAGGTTGTGGGGGGGGGGGGGGTTGCACTTTTCTTTAAATTTGTCAAATATTTTATTTAATTTTTTGGGATAAAAAGACCACATGTCATTTATTCATTGGTTACTTTGTCATGTATTTTAATTCTTATTTTTTCTCTTTAATATCATAGACTTTTAATGAGTTGGCATGATATAATTGGGCATCTAATCCACGTGGACGCGCTTGGTTAACACGCACTTGAAGTCAACATGTGCTAGTGAAAAAAGTGTCAGAATGACACAATGTGATGTCACATGAGGTGTCTAAAATGAACAAAACCTAGTTAAAGTGTCTAAGTGAAAATTGCTGCCAACTTTAGGGGGCCACTGATGGGTTTAGCCTAATTTTTTTTAATGGATGTTTCTGGTTAATTGAGAAACATCAAGGATGTACATGAACTTTAGGACTCGTTTGGTTGGGAACAAGTTATCCTGAGATTAGTTATCCAAGGATTGTTATCCACCCTGAATGTGGGATAAAAATAACACTACAATCCCGAAATAACTAATCCCGGGATAAGTTATCCAGCGGCTTTATCCCAACCAAACATGGGATAAACTCATCCTAAAACTGATCCTGGGATTAGTGATGCCAACCGAACCCTTAGAATATACTTCAAGGATGTGTTCCATTAAAAATCTTTGGAACTAACTTGTCAGGGAATGGAATCAGGTTTAGAAGATATAAAACATTGTTTAGCATCTGAAATAAGTCTATTAATCCATTGGGCTGGCTCTATATTCTAGCTTTTTGTATTTCACGTAGTCATGAGAAACCTTTGCTGTTAAGGGCATAAACTCTTGTACTAGTTACATCAGTTAAGAGTCACCTGGTTTTGTTGCTGTATGCACATAGGTAGCAAGTAAACCTCATTCAAGCACATGATGCAACTGCGCCTCTCTAGCAGTGTTTCATGTTATACCTGTGGGTCTATGAGAATCTCATACCATAGTCAGAACTCACCTATATCTGTCTTTTAAGTTTGTTGCCAATCCAAAACCCTAATGAAATTATAGAATGATGTGGAGATGTCCAGTTGAGCATATTGTTTTTGTATCGGTTCTTTCTGCCATCTTTTCTGGCATATTTAAGTTTACAAATGCTAGGCTATTACGTACTTGGACTTGGCTTATGTTAGACATGTATTGTTTGTCAATTACGTGATATCTGGGCCTATTGTCTCACCGACTTTTCCCCATTTTGTATTACAGTGTTCTTAAGAGACAAGCGTCATCTACGAAGAAGGCTTTGGTTGACTTCTGGCAACTTGCATTCTCTTATCAAGTGAACCCTCTTGCTGCTGTTCAACCACTCCCGCCTGCAACACGTGGAAGCCGGTGATGCACAATTTTGTTCCTCATAGTTGCTCAAAACCAGAGCTGTTGTAGATAAATAAAAGATCACTGAAGATATTGCTACTATCATCTTAAGTTGGAGTAGAACATCCAGAAATACAATAAAGCTTACTTCAAGATCGCATTCTTTGCCAATAGAGTGCTGCTTTCATAACTTTGTCTTGCCTTTTTTCTGTGGTATTAACTTAATTCTCTTAGCAAAGAGGGGATCTCAGATTTCTCAATGTTAAATTTTATGCAGTGGTAGTGTGGTACCATTCATTTTATGTCTAGTTTTTAACTATATAACTTCACTCCTTTTTGAAAATTTAAGCTGAAGATTTTAAATGTGCATATAGTGCCTTGTGTATTGCTTAGGTCTGTTGAACCCTCCTACAATGTGGAGATGTCATAAATAAAGTGTTGAGCTGTGATGAAATTGATTTTGATAATTGACAAAGATTGTTGGAAGAACCAGGTTCCTTTGCCAATTTTTCGAGCTCAACCAAGACAATTGCTCTAACCATCATTTTGTCTTCATTTAGAGCCCTAGTGTCCTGTGCCAAACTGATATCAGCCAATTCAGCTAAAAGGTTTCTTCTTCGTGTCCAGTTCACCGCATGCTAGTTTTCTCCAGTCTATGATTTTCTTCTTCAGCATCCTTAGCTTCAGGCGCAAAACATAGTCAGGGCATCCCATTACTTCAAATTCATTCCACCATTTATGCACTAGTTCCTGCAAACCATCTATCTTGAGTCACCAGTTTTTCAAACTTTAAGTAGGGTTTCTGTTTTTTCAGTCACCACATTGCAGTAAAATAGGACAATGGTCCAAAGTCACTGTAGGCGTAACCATTTGTTTAATGTTCTTGAAGAACTCCTCCCAATCTACATAGTAGAGGAATCTATCCAAAACTTGTGGACAAGCCCAAAATCACTATTTGCTTTTAAGTTACCTTATATTGTCGTCTCATCCTGAATAATATAGAGTTTTAATGTTGCATTTTTTATAATTTATTTTTAAATAAATTTGTGGGCCCTTGAGTCCACATGTTAATTAAATAGTTTTTAGCCAAAATCATCCTTAAACTATACCTCAAACTTAAATTACGTCATTAAAGTATTATTCTTAGCAGAAAACATCCTTCAAGTATTAAAATGTGAACAATTTCCATCCTTCTACTTGAATTTATTAGAAAACTAACAAATCCCACAAAAATCAAGTCATCCATTCGTAATTATCATTTTTAGATATGCCAAAAATACTAATCGTGAACTTTTTTGGTTATTGAGTTTAGCATTATGCAAAATCTTTTAATTTGACAGCTTTTTTTTCATTTATTTTTCATGTAATTTGATATTAAAAACATTATTAGTTGAAATATTTTTTATTTTTTTATTTTTATTAATTGAAATATGTTTCTTCTCAATTGAATATGCTAGAAGCGGCGTTTGTTGGAGACTTCCACTTCTAACAATGTAGAATAAAACTCAAATGCAAGACATAATCGATATTTTGGTCACTTCAATATCAGATTGGCCAAAAAATTTATTGATCTAAATATAATTTGGCTATGAAAAAGGTAAAGATAATTAAGCTCCAACTTCTTTCCGTTACTAAATGAGAAAAATAGTAGATCATATATCCTCACACCTTTCAAACATTTTTTGTTTCGGTAAGCAATAGTGTCTAAAATTTTTGATATGTTTTTTCACGAACTTCTTATAGTAGGTAAAGAAATTATGCAGGAAAACTTTGTTGATGGTCACGTGAACTGCTCATATTTTTGTAGGATCCCTTAGTTTTTTGACGATATCTAATAGAAGGATGAAAAGTGTTCACTTTTAAATATTTGAATGATGTTTTCTGCTAAGAATGATACTTTAAGGATATAATTTAAGTTTTGGATATAGTTTAAGGATGCTTTTGACCAAAAACTCTTAATTAAACCCTCACAAAATAATAAAATTTCTCTTTGTATGGACAAAATAGCAGTTTCACTCTCCAAAGTTCAAAATCAAAACCAAAAGTTGTCATTACCTTTAAACCTCTGCCAACAGTTACAAAATTTGAGAGATTTCTTTCTTCACATCAAACAGTATTCAAATAATCTATTTATTTCTGTATATATATCAAGATATGAATGATGATTCACTCTTCGGATAACCCTATTTCCTTGCCCCCAAAAAAGGTATGCTCAATTTCCCCCTTTCAATTACTTGTTTTTTGGCATAGATTGTTCTACTTGTTTTCTTTTTCTCAAGAATGGGGAATTCTCATGTTATCGATCCTTTTTTTTTAACACATACATGTGTTTGAGAAATTCCATTCAAAGAAATTGAATGAAAATGCTTTTGAGGAATTTGCATTTTTATGGGTTTAGGTTATCTTATTTTTACCATGGATTGTTCTGCTTTGTTTTTCCTCTCTCAAGATTTGTGTGAGTGTATCTGTTTGATTGAATGGGGAATTCTGATGTTATCAAATTTTTAAAGAAATTCCATTCAAAGAAATTAAATGAAACTGATTTTGAGAAATTTTCTTTGTGTTTTTATTAAAGACTAGTAAAATTACCCGCGCTTCGCGCGAGAATTTAATATCATGAAATTTATAAAATAATACTTAAAACCTATTGATCATTAAAACTAAAACATTATATTATCTTACATACAAGATTACACAGTAACAAACATTAATAATGTAAAGGAAAATGAAAATTACATTTTGTAATTTATCCTTAATAACATAAGCATAAATAAATGATCTGTAACATAAGCAATGATGTCAGTGAGCCACTCAACGGGAGCAAAGTACACAAATATTTAATTGTGAAGAAGAAGAAGAAGAAGAAGAAGAGGTTCAAAATTTTTATTGTTTTAAAAAGAGAGGAAATCTCTCTATTTATAGACAACAAAGTGTAGTGTGAACAATTATTTATTGTGCCTTATTGAAAATGTTAAAACTATTTGTAAAAGTTGCAACCCTTCGAAAATGACCTTTCATAAAAGTCACAACTTTTCATAAAAGTCACAACTCTTCATTAAAGTCAAAACTTTTCATAAAAGTCGCAACTTTTCATAAATTTTACATCTTTTCATGAAAGGGGAAGGCCAGTTTTGTAAATAAATAAATTAAAAGGAAATTCTAGTCTGTGGGCCTAGGGATCTCTTATATTTATATATATACTAGTTTTTCGACACGTACGTTGCACGTGATTATTAATTCAGAATATATATGTTATAGTAAATATTATTGTTTATTTAAGTGAAGACTTGAATAATAAGTTTTGCATAAAACAATATTGCAGATTCTTTTGTGAATGGTGAATGTGGATCATTATATATATCTCTTATTCACGCGAACCTATGAAGATGGTCAATGAAAAATTTATTAGTTAAATGCAATAATGCATATATTTATTTTAATTTGATAAGGTTCAATCATGTTATTAGTCGTATCTTTGTAATATAACCTTATAGACGATAGTTTTGTGTATTTTTCTTGTCATCCAACCAGATGTGCTTTGCACGTGTATTCCATGTTAAACTGTTTAGATGTCATATGAATATGCGAAGAGAACAACTACATATTAATTTTTAGAACTAATTTTTGTATATTAATTTTTATTTTATAATAACATAATAGATGACGTTCTTGTTTTTGGCTCTCATATTTGACTTCTTGATTGACTGTTACATAAATCAAAGATAGTTATCTGACTGTCATTAGATAACTGAGAAAGATTTCTTTTTTTTACCGGTAAAACTAAAACTTAAAATTTAAAAATATATTCTATCTGTGAAATCATATATATAATCACCTGTTTATCTTACCCACAACAAAAATATAGTTTATATACTTGTGAATGATTTTCAATATATTCAACCAAACATGATTCATCCAAGGAAAAATAACAACATTGTGTTATCACATATATAGGAGCGGTATAATATTATGAAAAATTATTGGTCAAAAGTTAATGTAAGAAAAGATAAAAGATAGAAATATTAATGTAATAACTATGAGAATTCATAATATTATAGCTAAAGAATGTTAAAGTGTGTGAATAACGTTTGCAATAATTAGTAATAACTAATAGAATTTATAATGTTATAACTAAAGAATTAACGTGCAATAGTTGTATTCCGGAAAAAAACTTATACTTACATAAATAAATAGGACTTTAAATTAATGTTCCTTTTTTTTTTTTTGTAGTTATTAGATTTTAATTTAGTGTATGGACAAAATGAAAATGTTTATTCTATATTACTGAATATTAAATTTATTTTGTAAATGATACATTTTAAATAATTCATTTATATTCACATATTTTCACATTTGTTGTTAGTTTTTTTTTTTTTTTTAAAAAGAACTCGGAACAATTTAAAATAATATATTTTGAAGTTAGAAGATCTTTTTAACTTGATAATACATTCATGACATATATAATACTTTAATTTAAATAACTTATATATGGCTTTATTACAAGTCATATGAGATTTTCTTCATTTAAAATATTGAAATATTAAGAAATAGTAAATAAGTAAAACAAAAGGACAATGTTTATATAGTAATAACTATTTTGAAGCAAACTTCCTAACATTCTGAATCACATAAGTAACATTGATAAATAAAGTCATTTTTTTAATCTTGAACATCAAAAAAATAAATCGTGACAATTCTCTAGACCATGAGAAGTTTAATAATTTTGGAAAAAGATGTTCAGAAGCATATATTTACATCACAAGATAAGTTGTTAACAAAAAAAAATAAATTTAGACTACATAATGTTAACTTCGTATATTGGAACATTACATACTAATGTATATATTAAGCAAAACAATAATTATAATGTCATCAAAATTATTTACCTCAAGTACTAGAGGTTATGGAATATACCATCTTAGGATAGAACGATTTACTTCATCAGAATAGTGGTACCTCATATTGCTAAACTTTGAACTCACTCAACGATAATAAATCACACGAAATATTTTAAAATGCAAGAAGAAGAAGAGTAGAAGATTAAAAAAAATTGTGGTGGAAAATGAGAGGAAGCCCCTCTATTTACAGTCAACAAATGGCAGTATGAACAAGTGTTTTTTGTGTCTTATCTGAAAAGTCAAGACCTTCCAAGAAATCACAACCCTTTGGAAAAGCCACAACTTATTGAAAAAGTCATACCTCTTTGGAAAGTCACAACTTATTGAAAAAGTCACAACTCTTTGGAAAAGTCACAACTCATCAAAAAATCACAATCCTTCGAAAAAAGTCACAACTTATCGGAAAAGTCACAACTCATTGAAAAAGTAACAACCTA